AGCTTTACCTCAAGCCCACCAACCTGTCTCTCAGAAGATAGGACAGTGACTTTCTTGACCTGGACACACAAAGCGTGTTACGGTTCAGTTTCGTGCAATAAAACATTTTGGAACAGCAGAAAAGCAGCCCCGGGCACAACACCCTTTGGGCACCAGATATCCCCATGAACGGGAGAAACAGGATGGGTCTGCATCACGATTTACCACCTTTAAACACAGGCAGGGGGAGGAAAACCCTCTCCCTGGCAGTGCCTGGCCAAGATGCATTTCTGGAAGTTCTCAGCAGAACACATCCACCTCCACCTCAGAGGCAGAAGGCTTCAGAGAGGATCAGCTGAATTCCCAGAAATGCAAATCCAGGGCTGACACCAATCCTGGCGTCGCTGTGGACCGCTGCCCCATAGATGGGAAGAGCCCACACCATCCAGTTATTGTGGACAGGAGCCCCCCCAAGAGCTCACTGTGAGGTTACAATACAAGAAATTCTTCATAACAACCCAGAACATCACTCCTGAGCTGCAGGTGTGGAGCTCGAGAGCCCCTGCACATCCCTGAACCGCGTGGCACCGGGAGCAGAGCCCTGCATCGCTCTGCTGCCAAACTCCTGCAGAATTCACACCGAGACCCTGCAACCAAAGAGGACGGTCCATCCCTGTGATAAACACGGTAATTCCAATCACAACCCTCAGCCCTCATTTGTTCATTTTGGGGTTTTGTTTTCCTAGGTGGGAGAAGCAGCCCCAGAACTGCCATGGCTTTTCTCTGTGCTTTGAGGAGCCTGTAGTAACCTCAGCCGTTAAAACCCCTTGTACCTACAATAACCCTCCATCCACTGCCAGGTGATTTCTGTTTAACAAGTGTCTCCTTTGCAGAGGTTTGAAGATGAAATGCTCCCTTATCTGCAGCATTCTGGGCTAGAATTAAACCAGGAGAGGGTCTACGACTGCCGCCACGGCAGCTGGGGTGCGATTTTCCAGTTGTGATGGAAAACGGCACTCACTGTGTAAGAGCCCAATTACCACGGGCTGTAACTACAGCTTTACTCACAAGCTTCAAATCCCAGCCAGGTAACACCAACGTTAACCAGAGAAGCTGTTATCCCAGAAGAAACTAGTTGGCAGACAGATCTCTGCTGCTCCAACTCAGTTTCTTTGAAAAATTACCTTTTTTAAGGACATGAGCAGGGAGGCTGCGAATGTGTATGGCTACTAACAGACTGACACTGTTCCTGGAAGGAGAAATATTTCCATCCCGTACGAACAGCCCTGAGGAGTCTTCCTGAAGCCTCCACATCAGCACCTGCAGATCCTAATGCAGGACTAAACCCAATGACATACTGGATTAACTGGAGAATCAAGTGACTTTTGAAAATTTATGCCATCCTAGTGCTTCTCCACTGGGTTACCTGCAATATTAGCTCTGAAGTAATTCCCTTAGTTTAGGTGATTGGGGTTTTGGGTGTTTTTTTCCCCCACATTTTGGGGAGACCTATTCCCCAGCACCAGGAATAAGCCAATCCTCAAAACAGCCATGTGAAGTATACTCTGGATGAACGCAACGCTAGGAAAAGCAGCATCAAAACCAAGGGAAGAATTCCTACACTCTTTTCTAACAACAACAACAAAAAATTTATGTTTTTATAACACTAAAACTAAAGCATCCCTTCTCTCAGAGACCATTACACATGTTAAAAGTCAATTCTAACTATCAAATTCAATATAACCAAAAACTAAGGGGCGCTGTGGCTCAACCCTAGGTTGCAAAGCTGTCCCTTGGAAACTTCCAAACACCCACGCGCCACCGAGGTACTCACTCCATCCGCTCCCGTGGGAATCTGCCCGTTGACGTTGAGGGTTCGGAAAGGGGAGTGAGTGGACAAACGTTTGTCCCATTCACTCGGCCGAGGCTCCGGGACGGACTCCATAAAATTCTTCTTCAACTCACTGATGTTGGCGTGATGTTTCTTTATTTCTTCTTGGGTTTTATCTAGATCCTATTAGCAAAAGGACAGGATAAATGAAGAGACACGGAGACGAGCCCGGCGCTCGCCTAGGCTGCCGCATAGCAAAGCTGCGCTTAGCGGAGTTGTTGGCGATTTCCATCAGCTGCGCTCACATTGCAAACACACAAAGGGAAAGTCCTCTCTCCTCTTTCCTTTGGGTTTAACGGGGATAACTGCAACCGGCACGGAGCGGGGTCTCCTCCGGGAGCGGGACGTGCCACCGGTTCAGCTCAAGCTACGCCAAAAGAGATGACAGCTCAGGTGTAATCTCATGGGTTCTCCCCATCTGGGACGTTTTTAAATTGAAATAATATGTTTGTTTGGGTTATTTAATGAATGCCTTTAAATTGGGTGGGTTTGCTTGCTCTTCCCTCTGTTAGTCTGAATATTCACGGGTATAAATGCAATTAAGAAATTTAAGAAAATATTTAAGAAAATGTTTTCCCCATTTTATTTATTCTCTTCACACCTATTTCTCTTCCATCCTACCAGGAATTATCTTTGCTCCCCTTAGTACTTTTTTTCTCCCCTCTCATGTCATCTCATCCCTCCAGGAGCTACCCCGGGAGGTTTACAACTTCTGAAATGAAGATGAGATGACAGCTCTCTAAAAGCAACTGGAAAATTTACTTTCTGCCGGATCAATCAACTCTTGCTAAAATTCTTCAGCTGGAAAAAGATTTCTCATCTGTGGTGCCGGTTTACAGCATAACCGCACAGACTTCAAGGCACATCAGCTCTCTTTGACTTGTCTAGAGATAGCTTCTCCTTGCAAGCAAACCCGAGTTTGTAGAAAACGAAGCTTGGACACAAAATAGGCACAAGCCAAACAACAACTTTTCGGGACAGTGCCAAAAAGCAGCAAGCCTCACTCGTCAGAAAGGGGGAAATTCAGGTCAGTGAAAGCACCACGGGGAAATTTCACTATTTTGGGGCATTTCGTTGGAACTCAGCCCATAGATCTTAGGAGATGGGAGAGCAAACGCATCCCTAAAGGAGGTGTCAGCCCCCCCCAAATATCTGCATCCCGGCAGCTCCCCCAGGACACACCGGCCCCCAAATGCTTTATTAACATTTGCTCATTTTGGCACATTTCAGGGGGTAAAAAAACCAGTTTTGGCATCTGTCCTGGGTGAAAGCACAAAGCATGTGCCTGCTAGTTACAAAAAAAAAATAAAATTAAAAAAAAAAGCACAAATAAATCTGCTGAGGACTCCAAGGTCAAGCCCTGCCCAGGTCCAGGAGCCCTGCGGCTGCTCCGGGTTTGGAGAAGAGAGAAAAAAACCACCTTGGCCATCCACCACCACAAGAGCTGGTCCTGGGGGGTTTGCAGAGAAGCTAAAGCCACGAGGAGCTACATGGGGCCACAGTGGGTCTGGAGAGCATCGGGAGGAAGGAGCTGGCTAAGCGTGAACGCTTCTCCTCCTGTTCTGCCCTTTCTTGGAAGAACACGGAGCGTGGGTTATGGAGCACGGAGCGTTAAAAGGCTTTGAATAAAATCAAACTGCAGCTTCGGGAGGATGAGATCTGCTGGGAAAACATCTCGTCCGCCAAATGCATGGATTTAAAAAAAAAAAAAAAATAAAGGAATAAAGGGGGTGACCTGCTGGGGTCATCCCTTTTCTAGGGGAGGGCTGGAACACCTGCAACAGAACCGGTGGGAGGGCAGCGGAGAGGGAACGGGCTGGGGACCAGAGCCAAGTATTGCACTAATAGGAAAAAGGGGATTGGAAACAACAAAAAAAGCTCTGTTTGGGGTCAGAGAGATGGAGCTGCTGGAGTTGGGTGAAAGAAGGCGACAGGCATGATCTTCGCAGCGCTCCGGTGGCGGCCGAACCCTGTCCGTCGTGCCGCAGACCCTGCGCTCGTGGCTGAAAGCTCAAGTTGTAGCAGTCAAAAAAAAAAAAAAGAAATAATTAAAAAAAAACCACCCAAAAGCTGCAAAATTTTTCAAATTCAGGTTAGGAGAAGGCAGTTAGTACACTTCAACCTTCAAGAGATACCAAGAGGGAAACCCTACCAGCTGCTGGTGCTGCAAGTTGGAGTCGAAACACGTAACACAGAGTATCAGAAGCCACACAACGTCTTCCAGAATACAGTGTATTATCCAAAAAAATAAAATATATGATTGGCATGGTCTGTTCTGAGACTGTGCTTGGGCGAAAGCAAGTGTCCAGGGCTCCCAAAGCCAAAGGGAATGCTGTATGTGGAGTGTGAAATGGATTCTCACCCGCTCGCAACCCCCTGTGAGCATCGAGCCCCAAGGGGACCTGGCACCGACGCAGGATGGGGCCCGGGGCAGCGTTGAGGGTGCTGCAAGGCCAGCAAGCCTTGGAGAAAGGATCGCAACCTTGCAAGCATCGGTGCAACGCCGGCAGCAACATCCGAAAGGAGGACTCGAAGCAACAGGGATGTGGTGGTGGACTGGGTGCCACGGAGGTGACGCTTCACCTGCAGCTTCTCCTGGTTTTTGCATTTTCATATTCTGTCTTTTCCCCCAGGAAAATAATCTATTTCAAGCAAGGAGAAACTTGTACATGAGCCTCCCCGCTACGATTCACGCCCCTGTGAGCACCCAAGGGGTCCCAGAGCAGACCTGAGCTCTGCCAATCGTATATTTTGGGGAAGTATGAGAGAATGAAAGTCAGAAGAGGCAGAAGGAAGAATGCCTGCACATCGTCATGTTTACTGTCAGCATGCAAAAGCGTATTTAAAATTAAAAAAAAAAAAAAGTCTTTCATGCAACAGCATGCAAAAACAAAGGCAGCAGCAGAAGAGGAAGAAAAAAGTTCAGCGCAGATGCAGAAGGTCTAGGCAAACGCAACTGAAAAAAGCTTCAAGTTCATACAAACCTCCAACATTAAATTGCTATGCCTGATATAAATGTTTTCACCATCTAGCCTCTTTGATCTTTTCTGTGAAAATGAAAAGAAAAAGGGGAAACAAAAAAAAAGAAAAAAAGAAAAGCACAAAAAATTAAAATGTTGTTCTTGCGGGATCGACAAATTGGCAAATTAAAAAAGTGAACTCAAGGTCGGGAGCGCAGCGCTGTGCCAGCGTGGGGTGGGGACCAGCCCTGGGGCCACCACCGGGAAATGGGGGTTCTTGCTCATGGAGAATGGGGAAATGCAATGAGGCCTTTAAAGAGACAGCTCCCAGGGGGTCGGCGGCTTTTGCCGTAGTTTCTATCGCTCGCCACGACATGACAGTTCACCAGTTTTCTGGGGAAGCTTTGCGCAAAGCCACAATGTCGTATTCCTGCTAGTGATGTGCCCACCCCACGTGAGGCTGTACTGCCTGCTGTGACGTTTACAAGGTCTCACTGTGCACAGGAACCGTGCCTTAACCACCTTTCCCATCTTGGATATGTCCCCTGTTACTTAATCAATTAAGAAAAAAAATACACTTTTTTTTTTTTTGCATTTCTGGGATGCACACTATACAGTTTTCTGTGGTTTCTAACTCAATTCGTTACAGAAAAAGAGAGAAATTTAATAAATCAAACCAAGTGTGTTTCTCTCTAACATGCAAAATTTTAGCAGACTGTCTATGGGACAATTAAAGTCAAATATTTGATAGTTGCAGAATAAAAAACCCTCAAAACCCCAAGCACATGAAGAAACTGGAGCACTGTCTTTTTAAACAGGTTACAGATGCATGAATGATAATGGTGAATTTGTTGGGTGAAAGTGTAAAATGTCTAACCTTCCTCATTCTTATCAGTTCTTCCTCTTTTTCTGCAGGCTGCTGCTGTTGGGCAGTGATAAAAAAAAAAAAAAAGAGTTGTTGGTTCATTTAACTATGTGGAACCTCACTGTTTAACCTTAAAAAAAAAAAAAAAATAAAATGTGAGCAACCTAACTGAATTATTAGCACAAACCTGGGGCTGGTCACCATTCGTGGTGGGTACTGTGACCTCAATGTGCGCTTTCCTCACCTACATTTAAGAAATAAATCGGTAAAAACATTTCTTGTTAGTAGATTTGTTTCAAGAGCCCGTTTAGTTTCAAAACACAGCTGCATAAAGTTGGTTTTGAAATGCTGGGGGAACATGCAAAAACCAACATGCAGAGTCCTCCGGAAAGGGTTAATGACGCGGCAGCTCATTAGTTCACAGCACATTTACAATAATTCCTCCTGGAGAATTATTTGCATTGGAAAGCAGTGCTCTCCAGTGCTTCTGAAGAGGATCTCGAGTGAGCTTTGCCAGGCAATGCTTTCGGGTTTCAGCTGCGGGGGGATCTCCCAGGGAAATCCTCACCAGGAGCAACATGCTCACGTTAGCAGGGACCACCTCAAAACAGAACGTTATTTGTTATGCACAGGTATGACGTTCACAAACCAGTGGAGACCCCTCTATAAAATCAAACCTAACATCCCCAATGAAGTTCCTTACTGTCCACAAGCAGAGAGCCAACATTGTCTCAACACTTTAGGAAAGCGTTTTGGGGAAAGTGGATGGCCAAAGGCTCTGGAGGCGAAAGCATCGGTGGGGGTTAAAGGAAGGGATGCAGCTAGAAACAGGGTAAATTTGGCACGTTCAGATCTACAATTTCCTCCTACATCTACATTTAAAGAAAAAAAAAAATCTGTGTTTAAGCATTTAGGAAAAAATCCTGTAATACGTGAGATGGTACAAATATATTTTAATGCTGGGGAGGGTGAGCGGCTGAGCAGGAACAGCGTTACAGAACTGTGTGCCGTGATGCACACTCCGAAGTGTCAGCCTGAAGATCCCTTCAGCATTTTCCTTTAAAAATTCCTGGTCACACAGATCATGACATTTTTTAAAGCAACTGTCCTTCTTCCCCTCCACCTCCCAGCCTTAATTAACAGTGATCGCCCCTGGAGGATGTCCTGCGAGAGCCACTGTGTGATGTGTTACAGCAAAAACGTGGCTCCAGCAATGCTGAGAACAGCTAAATATCCAGAGGAATGGGAAAACTGTATCTCAAGGCAACACCTCTGCTGCAACATGGGAAGGGTTCAGCCAATAAGATCTGCAGAACATTAAGGAGACCGTATTATCAACTATAATTTTTCCCATTACGTTCACTTATGAGAACAACGCGCACAGATCAACACCAGCAGAGGTCTCGGGCATTTGTAGAAAACCCAAATAATGTTTAAAAAAAAAATTCATTTAAACACTAAACCCCCCAAGGTCTCAACAGTGCCATTCACAACTGCAGTTTCAGTCCAGTTTGTATTAACAGCTCCCCCAGGGAAAGCCTATCGACGTGAAAAACATTTGCACTCAGGCGCTGGGCTGCAGACCAGATCCCTATCATCGATTCACTGGAATCGCTCCTGCCGTCGTACCAGGAATCTGCAGAGACAGCCTAGGGAGGGCTGAGCCCTGAATTCAAGTCCCATGACCTCATGTGCAATTCCTGCCAGCTTTTTAATGCCGCATCCGTACGCTGCATTCTGTTTGACTGCAACCACCAAAACCCAGCCACCCCGGAGGGTCAGGGCTGGGATTCCCTGGGACCCAGACCCCCAAAGCTCACTCCCCCGCGACGCTTGGGCAAGGACTCAACCCCTCCCAGGCAGCGGGTGCACAGAGCTGCTGCTTCGAGGTGGTTTTTGGAGGCGATGCTCCAGCCGGGTCCCGTCTGACATACCTTTGATGCATCGGCCGGCTCCGGCTTCGCTTTCTCCGCTGGGATTTCTTCTCGCCTTATGTCAGGTTTCGCTCCTTCCTTTTCTACTTTAGAGACAGCGACATCTTTCAGGTCGGGCTTAGCTGGGACCGGTTCTGCAGCGTGGGTCTGAGCGATGGCCGGGGCAGAGGTGGGACGGGGACTCCTCTCGGGGGTTATCACGGCCACTGCTGGGATGGGGAGAGACACAGGGACAAGGTTCAGAGCAGGTAACGCTTTCAAAGCACCAGGCAAAGTCTTTCCAAATTACAGTGCTGTTGTTTAAAAAGAAAAGGAGGAGAGAAGGGGAAAAAAAAGGGAAAAGAAACAAAGATGTTGAGCAAAGCAGCTTGTGCGCTTAGTACGGGAAAGTTGAGATTATTTTCCTTATGGTTTAAATAAAATAAAGCAAAATAAAAACCCACACCAGATGGTTTACAAAAAGCAAGCTTGCACTCTGCAGAGAAGCCACACCAGAAAGGCAAAGCTATTTTTGACACTGTGCCACTGATTTCTGGGTCCTACACACAACAGACACAGAAGTCCACCCAATGCAGCCGTTAAAACAGAAACACTTGGAACTGGGGGGAGTTCTTGATGCGTTGGCATCTCCTCAACCAGAAACGGATGGTTTCTGGAAGGGCAACACAGGCTTTCCCCCACCTCCCCAATCTTTTCAGCAATTCAGACAAAAAAGCACTCAACAGGCACTGCTCTCTACAACTGCACAGCAGCTTCCAGGTGGGTTTCAAAGCCGACAGAGGCTGCGGGTCCGCGATGGGTGATGCCAGCATCTCCAGATCAGCGCAGAAATGAATGGCATGCTGCCCAAAAACCACTTTCCAGAGGATGACACCCTTAAATACCAGCACCAGGTACACACAAAATCAACTTTCTCCTCTTTCCTTCCATTCCTGATTTCCCAGACAGTTCCCGGTCCCGGAAAAGCCTGATACCTCCAAAATATTCAAGCCAATACTGTGCGACAAAGCAAGCCCAAATTAATTCTCTGTGCGTAAGTATAGACACAATTGGCTATTTAGCTCTCCTGTTTTTATGGCCATTCCACTGAAAATACACCTAGTCACCCAAATAATTCCTTTGACACGGTCTCAGATTCCTACAGACAAAGTTTATGCAGAAGGGTCACACTGGGTAATTCACCCCAGGCAACACCAGGTTACTGGCGTCCGTCCAGCCAGTCAAAGCCACTGGAAAATTTGGCATTAAAAAATAAATTGTAACTTTAAAGTAACTCCTTAGTAAGAATTCCTGGGTTTTTACTGTAAAGATAACTGCATCTCATCTGTGCGTACAGAATAAAGCATCCATGTGGCCAAAAACATACAAGATGGAGGGGCAAAAAAAATTATTTTCCAGAGACTGGAATTCTAGTTCTAAGACAAACTCCTAGACAACACGTCTGGCTGAAAATCCACCCTAGAACCCCAAACCACCACCACATCTGCCCCCTCTGTGAGTCAGACGTTGCGTTATCCTTTCGGAAGGAGAACCGGTGCCGTGTCCCAGTGTTTTTTATGCCACGGAAGCAGTGACAGCCACTGGGGAGGTTTATCCAAAGAGACGGTGGGATGGCAGGACAGTTGGGATAAGGAGGATGCTGGGGGTGCAAAGCCGTCGCGATGGTACCCAACTCCTTCGGGACCAGCTCTAGTTCTCCCATCATCACCATTTCTGCCTCCTCATCCTCTTCAGTTGGGCTTATCTCACCATGGCCAAGAGCACATTTGGCTAAAAAAGTGCCACCTCGAAAACGAAGCAGCACAGGACACACTGCCATCAGTCAATCTGCACGGCCAGCTCTCTTTGGGGACTCTTGCTTCTCTTACAGCACTTCTGAGCACCAAAGCACGCACGAAAATCAACGGATACCAAGCCTTCCCTTTGCTGTTCAACGATGAGCTCTGTGCTGTCCAGGACTGTGTTATTTCAGTCCCATTGTCTCGACCTTTGGGTGTTTTCACACATAATGATTTAAACACACTAAAAAGCATTGCTCCAAAATACGAGATATAAAATAGCATCACCCTGGCCAAGAAAACAGTCTCTACTGGGAACAAAAATGCCAAGAGGAGGAAAAAGTGCAGGAGGTGGATGAGACGAAGGGGCAGCTGCTGCGTGGGTCCGACACTGCCTGACGGCCGCCCTGCTGCAGCACATCCCATGGAACATCTTCGAGTCTGAGCACAGAGGCTGGGTTTAGTGCTTTTCATAATAATGAAAACAGGTGAAGTCCACAGCTATCTCCCTCCACGGCTTCAACCTCCTCTTCCTGCAAAAACTAACCAGCTCTGCTTTTAATTACGATTAGCACGGATCTGTCTGCAGCAGCGAAGATGCTCTGAAACCTCTCCGCAGCTAGGGAAGCAGCAGGCTCTCCGGCGAAGAAATAAAGCAGAGTGTAGCTGATCTCCCGCAGTCCTGGAGCGCACAACCTGATCTTCAGGCACTGCAGATTCCTACAGCTCAGGGGAACGAACCTCACAAGAAGGGACAGTGACAGAGGAGCGTGAAGAGGCCACGGCCCACTCACTTCAACACGCATGGACACGGCCAAGCCGCAGCACCTCCTCGCCTCACCCCGCTAAAGCAGCGCTCGCGTATTGCAGCTCACTCGCAAAGCCGGGTGTGATTTTAATGGCAATGAACACCACTGCAAACGATGTCAGCTCTGTCCTATGGCACCGCATCACTCCAACCCAGCAGGTCATGGCACGGGCGGCCGCGGGAGCCGATGGCAAATGCCGCTGTGGCTGTACCTGACCGCGTCCACAGCGGCTCCGGTAACTTTGGCTTGGGAACGGGAACCTTAACCACCTCTACCTTCTCCTCCTCCTCTTCCTCCTCTGCAATGGGTTTCATTTCAAAAGTTTCAAGAGGGTGTTTGGCTAGAAAAAGGTTTGCAGGCGTTAACAGAGTGGAGACACACGACGGTCGCCGCAGGAGAGGAAAGAGCAAGAGGAGATCCCTCTCCAAGGCAGCGACTGAGAAAAGCAAGGAGGTTTTTAAAACCAGGGAGATTAATAGTAATTTTCCACGATGCAATTGCAGGTCAGTCTTTCTAGCACTGCCAGGGCCAGCAGTGTATTGGATGATGGGGAAAAAAACAGAAATAAGCTTTGCAGGGTTCCTGCCCAGGCAGGGATAACAGCTCTTGAGTGCGGCACTAGGACAGGCTCTACCGGCAAAGTCTGGGGAGGCGCAGGTGCTGGCTGGGAAAATCCAAGAAAAACACACCCAGGCTCCTCTAGATAAAAACCTATATAAGAACTAGCAGCTTTAATTAAATGTACATGAGTGATCAACTTCAAATCTAAAAATTAAGAACATACAGTCACCTATCCTGGTGTCTCAAATGCTAATTCTCCACCTTCTGTTTTTACAGCATCAGGCTTTCCCTGCCAGGCGATGCTGACTAGTGGTGGGGAGACAGTCTGCCACGTCACTTTATGAAAGCGTGGTCTAGATTTCATACCAGGAAAGCAGTGATATCAAAAGCATGCTGTAAAAAAAAAATAAAAAATCAGGGTGGAAGGAGGGAAGTGGAGCGGTAAACAATGCATTTGCATAGGAATTATCTCCAGCCCTAATGCACCACAGGCATTTGCTGTTTAAGCGACAGACTGCAAATATTTGACAACACCGCTGCTGTGATACACTGATTAGTATTCGAATATGCTGTTGTACCTACACACCTCTTAAGGGCATTAATATTTATTAAAGGTACTTATCTTAAAAGAAATAGAAGCTCCATGTAGCAAAATGGGCGGCATTTCCCAAACCACCAAAAAAACCCAGAATAGGCTTAAAAAATGGAAAGCGGGTCCTGGGATGAAGAATTGCAGAAGCTTTACAAGAAGTTTCAAGATCAAACTTTAAAGTTTTCTAATCCACATTTACAGAAACACCCAAATTTAATAAGGAGACAGTTCTCAAGTGCCAGCACATCCTAAACTTTTCCCCCACCTCTCCGCAAGAATTACAGACTAACGAGGTGCGAGGTGGAAATTTAACGAGTCTCCCAGAGCCGGGGCTCTGTCTGTCCTCTGACTGCGAAACTCTTCTTGCAAAGTAACGAAAAAAAGAAAGCCGCCAGATTTGGTGAAACATTGTCAGGAAGAAGCATGTAAAGGAGAGGAAAGGCGCTGCAGGAGAGTTGTAGCCACCACCACAGCTATACCTGGCTTCTCTCGGATCTGATCCACGGGTTTTGGTTCAGGAACCTCAACCACCACCACCTCCTCCTGCTTCTCTTCCTCTACGGCTCTGAACTCAACTTTTTGAGGCGCACGTTTAGCTGAGGAAACGGGGCACATGTTAACGACTGCCCACACAGCGGACAGAAAAAGGCTGCAGGCTTCAATGGGGACAGAAGCGTTACATTCATGGGCTGCTCTTTTCCAAGCTTGGACATCAGGAAGCGGGATTGCAGCAGGGATTTCTCTACTCCTCTGGGGCAGTTAATAGTCTGCGAGGCATGGCCAATGGGCAAACAACAGCGCTGGTCCCCTCGCCTCCATGCACCATGCCTGGGCATCCTCGCACAGCCAGGCTGCGGACGAGCCGGCGTTTTGCTTTGCCGTGGTACGGAGCTCAAAGCAAGGAGCTCTTCCCCTCCCAGCTCCGAGGCATGAAGCCCAGGCTTGGGGTGTCGCTGAGCCCCTAAACCCCGGCCAGGCACAGGGGCAGCCCGGCTGCTGCTGGCCACGGGGCGCTGGGGCAGCCCTGTTCCCTCCTGGGTTGCAGCAGGAGCTCAGGGCTCAAAGCAACGCTGCTCCTGCTCCGTGCCCTTGGTGCAAAGGGACGCTCCCCTTTCCCTGGATCTGAATGTTACAAGCACCCCATGATCCAGACCAAGGGGGGGCAATCTTGGGCACTCCCCCTTCCACGCCTGACCTCCAGCCTGCTGCTGCCTGGGACGAGCCCACCACACTGATAGGGGACAAACTTCAAATTAGCATCCCTCTAACAGAGGCTCAAAAAGTTTCAGTTGTGGCAAAAAATCTCTCCCTCAAGGAAAACTATATCATTTAAGAAGCTCCGTTAAACAAAACAAATCCTAGAGTAGCTGAATTCCTGCTTTGCTAAAAGGAAAATGCATTGAGATTGAATCTTTACAACCAGAACTTTGCCGTAAGCCTTCAGCTCCCACCTGCATCCTTTTTGTCCGTCAGCTCTTGCTAGTACTACTATCGGTTTCCATTTTATCTCCAGGTGTTCTATTAAAGCAAGAAGTTATGGTTTTTTGGGGTTTTTTTCGGTTGGGGTTTTTTTTTTGTTTTGGTTTTGGGTTTTTTTTGTTTTTTTGGTTTTTTTTTAAAGCAGGGAATTTAGGTGGCATTTAAGGAGTATTTCAGCATCCTGCAGAACCCAGCCATGAAGAGGGATGAGGCAGCAGACACTCACCTCCATCGAGGCTCCTGGAGGCTCGCTTACTTGCCGTCCGCTCGAACTGGGGAGCGGGTCGGTCGATCAAGGCACTCGCCTGCCTCGTCTGCGCCTGCGTCCGCCCGCTGTAGCGGAACTTGGAGCCCAGCGCCAGGAACCTGCTCTTCGGGATGGCCTCGGTGGAAGTCAGCCTGAAAACCACACACACAATTTAAAAAATCATACCTCCAGATCCAAGGCACAGCAGGTAAAGAGCAATTAAAATATAAATTAAAGAAGTTTCTGCATACTCTTGATTAACAACATACGCAAACAATAAGCCCCACATCTACATAAGCTGGAAGATTTCTGTCTTATTTATCTTATGAAGCGGAAGCTGCCTAGAAATTTATTGCAATATAAATACTTAATGTCTCTGCAACCATTTCACTCCAAATTTCATGAAAAACCGAGGAACGCAGAAGGAGTGCTCATTTTCACCAGCTAATCTAAGCCATTAGTCATTCAAGGCGAGCCTACCATTTAGAAAACCCACCTGAAAAACGTGTGATGTTCAACACACACTTTCCACAGCTTCTTCGCTGCCCGGTAACTTGGTAGCTTGAACCCAATTGTACTTTCATACTGCTCTTGCTGTGGAAAACACAAGTTATTTAGGTAAAGCAAGAAATAAATAAGGCAGGAGTCCGGTCCCCAGACCATCACCCTTGCTCTGCAGCACAAGCTGTCAGTCCAGCCCAAGAGCGGCTGAACTCACTCCGTGATGTGCGGGAGGAGCTCGGGTCTGAGAAAAAACAGGGCTTGCACACAAGCCCAGGCATCTCTCAGGACGCACTGGAATTTGCAGAGGAGCGTGCTGCTGAGGGTTTTGCAGCCATCAAGCTCATTTATTCCCTGTGATGCTGTGGGATGGAGTTGAAAATTGACCTCTCTGCCACGCTGAGTCATGGCAGCCGAAGCAAGAGGAAGAAAGGGAGGAACAAAGAGGCAGAACCCCGTTACAGCCCCTCTCCCCACTAGGTTTCCAGCAGCCAGGCTGCTGCGGGGATCTCCCCGTTCACGAGAGGCAGCGTCAGGTCCTGCTGCAGGCTGAATGAAAGGATATGTGTCTGTATTTTCTTTTGTAGTATTTTGTTTTTTCAAGCGAGACAGAGAGCCTTTGTCTTGCCCAGTTTCCCAAAAAGGAGTTAAAAGTCTTTTCCCAGTTTCAACTGTGAACTTCCCACCGCGTTCCTCTGGATGCTGGGAATACCACGCGGTGCCAGGAGATGGTGCTGGATGACACGTTGTGTAAACTGTCACCCGCTGTTTATGGCTCCAGCAAGGTCAGCAGGCTCTGTCTGAACTTAACACCAAGCCAAGACCAGAAACCCAACAGAGTGTAAAATGCCCGTTCAGAGAAAATCTTGCTCCCTACCCCACTCTGTTTTAGTGAAGCATATACATTGATCAGAAAGCAATTAAAGAAGTCATGAGCACAAAGATGTCAGAACATACCTCCCCTGGCCGAATCTTAATAAAGAAGCTGCTGCGTTTGTAGGAAATCTTCAGGACTTTGGGCCAAGGGAAGCGGTTGATTCTCAGTTTATCTTTGTAAACAAGAAGGCCACTGGAACAGACTCCCAGAGTGATATCCACTCCTTCCAAGTCCTGGGAAAGCAGATGAGGATTTAAGCAGTGTCAGAGTTAGAATTTCAGGTCTGTCCTCCAAATTACCCCCTTGGTTTTCCCCCCAAGGGTCTCCCAAACTCCCCCCGACCCAGACCTCAGCTTCCAGCTCCCTACACAGCCAGGGTCAGGCTTTTCCTTCACGTGTCTCCTCACATCCTCCTCCCTCCTGCAGATCCCTCCTGCGATGCTGTTTGCTCCCAGGGCTGGTCTAGACTCTATCCTGCCTTTCTCTGAGCTCACCTGGCAGGGTCAGAGCCTTATTCTGTGTTCCTCAGAGCAAGGACCTGTCTACATCAGAAGCTTTGTAAAGCTTCCTGTAATATATAAATAATAATCGGGAAGAATCCCTTCTTTTACAACACTCCCAACAGTGCTCAAGGGCATTTCTGTTGTGTGGCTGTGTTTCTGTACCAGTAGAGCCTCCTGAAATAGGTGAACTGTCTCCTGCCAGGGAAGGATACCCAAATTACCAACCCCACAGGCAGGTGCACGCACGCTCCTCCTTCTCACCTTCGCTTGGTGCAGGTCGACTCCATACATAGACAGCTTTTTTGCATTCTCAAGAAATTCCAAGTCTGCTTGAGCTGGAGTCATGGATCTGGGGAAAGAGAGAGAAAGGGCTTGGTGTTCCCATAACTGGTGCTTTTAGGAGGGGACAGATCAGGCTTCACAATACAATTTACTTGTTAGATCTTCTTTTGCTTTCAATACAAACAAATTTGTGAGCAGATGATGAATTATAAAATTTCTCTGAATGCACAAATTTGTGTTTTGAGCCATCCTCATGAAACACATGCACCTTATTTCTGCGGAGCTGTACAGACCCCAGACAAGAAAGCGAGTTAGACGGCGAGGAAACGCAGTACGGGGTCCAGAACGTGATTCAGTGGAAGAAACACCAATTCAGCCAAACGCAGAGGGCGGCAGGTCCCAT